GCCTCCCCTGTGCCTCTCCCCCCCCTGTCGTTGCCCCTGAGGTGCACGCCGGCAGCGGGGTCGCCGCCGGTCGGCACGGCGCGAACCTGCCGCGATGGCTCGCGCGCTGCGAGGGCCGCCCGGCAGGCTGTGCGGGGGCGGGCCGGGCGCGCCGGCGGCCTCCCGGCCCCCTGTGGGCGCGGCCGCGCCTCGGGCGCCACAGAGGGCCTGGGCCCAGGCTGCGGCCTATAGACGTCGGCACGGCAGGGGAACGGGCGGGAGAGAGGCGGCAGCCAGGAGGAGGAGGAAGAGGACGACGAGAAGCCGCGCGGTGCGGTGCGGCCCCGGCGGAGGCTGGGGGAAGATCTAGCGGATGCCCCCCCGCTGAGCACAGGGTGGGGATAATGAAGTTCGGGGTTCCAAAGGGATGGTAAACTCTTCCTGGCAGGTCGCAGCACACAGGCGGAGGAGGAGGAGGAGGAGGAGGAAGAGGAGGAATAGGAGGAGGAGGAGGAGGAGGAGGAGGAGGAGGAGGAGGAGGAGGAGGAGGAGGAAACGGAGTGCATCGGAGTGCACGGATGTATGGAGTGTCGACACATGTTTCGGAGTGTAGGGGTGTACAACATGTCGAGACATGTTTCGGAGTGTACGGATGTACGGAGAAGTGGGAGGAACACGACATTGGGCCTATGCGAGCATGCGAGATCCTCATAATGATGCTGATGCTGATGATAATGATAGTGATGATGCTGATGCTGCTGCTGCTGCCGATGCTGCTGCTGATGATGATGATGAGGATGATGATGATACTGCTACTCATGGTAAAGATATTCAGTCTATGATTGTTACTTACCCTGGTGATACTGCAGTTCGGACCCGCCGCTCCCCACCGCCGACTAAAACTCTCTTGGCTGGAGATGGTCATGAGATTGGTGGGAGGGGGGTATGTCTTATTACCAAGGGCATGCGTTATCCGTGGCGGGGGGGAGGACAGAGCGTCCACCTTCTGAGTCGCCTTCCTGGCTCTCTTCATCCGCTTCGCTTGTCCATCGCCTGCTTGATGCGATCGAGCAATGCTGCCTTCGTCGTTCGATGCAACCACTCTCTTGTTTGCAGAGGAGGCGGAAAGGACCGACCGACAAGAGCAGCAGCGATAGGAGAAGGGGGATGTGAGGGAGGAGCGGGATGAGCAGGGAGAGCGAAACAGAAGAGGGGGAGGGAGGAGCTGAAGGAGGGACGCGCAGCAGACATGGAGGAGGCGGGGGGGGGAGGGAAGAGAGAGCAGGGCGGGGGGGGAAGGGGAGCAATGACACTCAATCCCACCAGCCCTCTGGGCAACCCCCCTTCTTCCCCCTAGCGGAGGGGTTTACCCCTCCCTCTATCCCGTCCCCCTGGACCTGGACGGGGGGGGGCCGCGACCCACTAGAGCGTCCAAGAAGGTCTCGGCGAGACTGCACACAGCAATCATGTTATCGCGGTTTTGGCCACATTTCGTGCAAGCTAGCAGCACCGACCTTCAAGCGAAAGCGGGGGCGCCCCCGAACTTGGATTGAACTAAACTTTGCTCACGGTGTCTGGGCTGGTGTCCGGGCCGCGGGGGGTGAGGAAGCCCTGCCGCAACTCTGGCAAGATAACGTAATTTCTGCCGCAGCCTGGCGCACAGCCGTGAAGCGGTATTGCGATGTCCTGAGGCCAAGGCATTTGTGCTCATGTGCTTTGCACTCAACTTTGTCTCCCTCTCTCTCTGGCCACATTCAAACCTCCTGGAGGGGGAATGAGATAAAGGGACCTCCCCTTCTTTGATGGAGCTCCTCCAAGATGGCCCCAAGGCTCCCAGGAGTGCCACAAGAGGCGCACAGGGGGCCCCAAGAGGCCCCAAGAGGTCCCCAACAGGCTCCCAAGAGGCCCCCAAAGGCTCTCCCGAGGCACCCAAAACGCTCCACGAGGCCCCTGGAACCGCTGAGAGGCCCCCAATACACCTCAAAATGATAAGACATTTTCAAAAGACATCGGAAGAGATTCCGAGAGACATCCAAGAGGCCTCTGGCCTTTCTGCTCGCTCTTTTTCCTCCTTTTCCTCCTCCTCCTCTCCTCCTCCTCCTCCGATTCCTCCTCCACCCTCCCCCTCTTGGGGTACGGCGGCTTCCCCAGCCCTTCATTCCGCTGAATGCTCCTCCTGATCAAAGCAACTCGCCATGTCGCCGCACATGTTACATGTCACTGCGGCGAGCGCCCGAGAGAGAGGTGTGACGTGTGAAATCCCTGTGGTCCCTCATTGTCAGAGCCCTTTGTCACTTGACGCGCCAATCAACGGTCATACTAACACTCGGCCGCGCAACGCTACATCATAAGGAAACTTCAGAGGCGCATCGCCTGCATTCTGGGCAGAGCCTGCCCACAGTTTCCAACAGACAAGGCGACTCCGACCCTCGTTGGGAACCGTCGGCGGGCTTGTGCCCAACTCGGAGACGCGCGACTGTGGGGCGCCCGTCCTCGACGTGGGGTCCGCTCGAATGGCCCCCCGTGGGCGCATCCCAGGATTTCCGTCTTTTCCTAAGCGGTACGGCAGGTCCGTGCCGTGTCGACCTGGGCGTTGGTTCCTGACACCGCGCTGGATCGCTCAACCTTGAACGATCGGCCATTTCCGCAACGTCCAATCGTTCAACATCGACCGATTCTGGGCCGCCCGCGGCGTTCAACCTTGAACGCCCGCGCTGGGGTCGCCGCTGGTCGGCACGACGCAAGCCTACCGTACTCTTGGGACGGGGAGCTCGGGGAGCGGGGGCCAGACGTCGCCCGCGAGCGTGTGCGCCCCACCTCCCCCCCACTGGCCCTCGCGCTCGCTCCACAGGAAGGGCCGCCCAGACTCTGTGCGGGGCACGCCAGGTGGCGTCGCGATGGCGTCGGCAATGGTTTTGCACGTTTTCGCCCTCCAAGCGCTCTCGACGGGCCCGCAGGGCGTGAAATTAGCCCGGCGAAAGGCCCGACCATATGCAATGTGTGAATGCCGGAATTGTGCTGGGTGGTGGCGGACGCATGCGGGCGGTGCCACTGGGACCTTCGGTGGAGCTCCCTATGGGGCCACGAAACGCTGTACTGGGTGGGTGAAACGCAGGCAGGGAGCAAGGACTGTGCAGGGTGGTGGCGGACGCATGCGGGCGGTGCCGCTGGGACCTTTGGTGGAGCTCCCTATAGGGCTACGAAGCGCTGTTCTGGGTGGGTGAAGCGCAGGGAACAAGGGCTGTGCTGGGTGGTGGCGGACGCAAGCGGGCAGTGCCACTGGGACCTTTGGTGGAGCACCCTATGGGGCCACGAAACGTGCGAGGGGTGTGCCAGAATGGTGTGTGGAACCGCATGCCAGCGCAGCCATTGGGCCTTCGGTTGAACTCCCTATGGAAACACGAAACGTGTGAGGGGTGTGCCGAAATGGGGGGTGGAACCGCATGCGGGCGCAGCCACTGCGGCGTTCGGTGGAGCTCCCTATGGGGCCACGAGACGTGTGAAGGGCGTGCCGAAAAAGGGGGTGGAACCGCATGCGAGCGCAGCCACTGGGGCCTTCGGTGGAGCTCTCTATGGGGCCACGAACCGTGTGAGGGGTGTGCCGAAATGGGGGGGGAACCACATGCGAGCGCAGCCACTGGGGCGTTCGGTGGAGCTCCCCATGGAGCCACCCACGAAGCGTGTGAGGGGTGTGCCGAAATGGGGGGTGGAACCGCATGCGAGCGCAGCCACTGGAGCGTTCGGTGGAGCTCCCTATGGGGCCACGAAACGTGTGAGGGGTGTGCCAGAATGGGGGGTGGAACCGCATGCGGGCGCAGCCACTGGGGCCTTCGGTGGAGCTCCCTATGGGGCCACGAAACGTGTGAGGGGTGTGCCAGAATGGGGGGTGGAAAACGTGTGAGGGGTGTGCCAGAATGGGGGTGGAACCGCATGCGGGCGCAGCCACTGGGGCCTTCGGTGGAGCTCCCTATGGGGCCACGAAACGTGTGAGGGGTGTGCCAGAATGGGGGGTGGAACCGCATGCGGGCGCAGCCACTGGGGCCTTCGGTGGAGCTCCCTATGGGGCCACGAAACGTGTGAGGGGTGTGCCAGATGGGGGGTGGAACCGCATGCGGGCGCAGCCACTGGGGCCTTCGGTGGAGCTCCCTATGGGGCCACGAAACGTGTGAGGGGTGTGCCAGAATGGGGGGTGGAACCGCATGCGGGCGCAGCCACTGGGGCCTTCGGTGGAGCTCCCTATGGGGCCACGAAACGTGTGAGGGGTGTGCCAGAATGGGGGGTGGAACCGCATGCGGGCGCAGCCACTGGGGCCTTCGGTGGAGCTCCCTATGGGGCCACGAAACGTGTGAGGGGTGTGCCAGAATGGGGGGTGGAACCGCATGCGGGCGCAGCCACTGGGGCCTTCGGTGGAGCTCCCTATGGGGCCACGAAACGTGTGAGGGGTGTGCCAGAATGGGGGGGGAACCGCATGCGGGCGCAGCCACTGGGGCCTTCGGTGGAGCTCCCTATGGGGCCACGAAACGTGTGAGGGGTGTGCCAGACCGCATGCGGGCGCAGCCACTGGGGCCTTCGGTGGAGCTCCCTATGGGGCCACGAAACGTGTGAGGGGTGTGCCAGAATGGGGGGTGGAACCGCATGCGGGCGCAGCCACTGGGGCCTTCGGTGGAGCTCCCTATGGGGCCACGAAACGTGTGAGGGGTGTGCCAGAATGGGGGGTGGAACCGCATGCGGGCGCAGCCACTGGGGCCTTCGGTGGAGCTCGGGCCTATCCCTATGGGGCCACGAAACGTGTGAGGGGTGTGCCAGAATGGGTGTGGGAGGGGGAGGAGGGGGGAGGAAGGGGAGGAGGAGGAAGGAGGAGGAAGGAACGCGGGGCGACGTCTCTTCAAAACGAGGACCCAACACCACAGGATGGTTGGGAAAAACGGCTCGGGATGACAAAGAGGTCCGGGGGCACTGCATTCTGCGTGTGTTCGACGAGGCACTGCGCTGGTCAAAGTTTTCCATTCCCGCTCGCATGCCTCAGCACACATGTTCTCCTCATTTGTTTCGCTTCTTGCCGATGCGCAACTCAAAGGCGGCATCCTGCGGGCGGCGGACGGGGCCGGGACCCTGGGGCTCCATGCTGCAGAAGGCTCCTCGACCTCCCCCGTCGCCGTCCCCCTCGCCCTCGCTCTCCAGCGGCGGGCTCGCGTCGCGATGGCGTCGGCGCTGCTCTCGACACCGCGTGCGTCTTTCGACCTCTAGCGATCGCGGCTTGCACTGCACATGGCGCAGATTGCTCGAGGTGGAGGAGGAGGAGGAGGAGGAGGAGGAGGAGGAGGAGGAGGAGGAGGAGGAGGAGGAGGAGGAGTCGGCCAAACATGGGCCACGGGCGGCGCTCGGCCTCGAGCGCCCCCGCTGGGGCCGCCGCCGCCCCAGCGCGTGGTGCGAGCCGACCGCTCCGGTGCGCCCCCAGAGGACGTCGCTCCCCTGGCTCGGTGGCAGCTCGTGGGGACCTCCCGTGCCATCCTTGCTGGCCCCCACGAGTCGACGCTGACCGACGTCGAACGGACGCTTCTCCACGCTCACTCGGCGCTTTCTCCTCCATGACCCGACGCCAGCGCACGCCAGTGCACTCCAAAGACGGAGTTGCGAGGACGAACAAAGCTCCCATGATTTGCTACCGAACCCCAGCAAATCCTAATCGCTGACAGGCAGGAGCCGCACGGTAAGTTCGCGTCGTGTCCACCGGCGGCGACCCCGCCGCTGGCGCTCAACGCTGGACGCCGCCGGCGACCCAGAATCGGTGGATCGTTCAAGGTTGAACGTTCCCCACCCTCCAGGACAGCGCGCCCGAGCGCTCTGAGGGAGGGCCTCTCCTGCAATGCTGGCATCTGGGCCCCCAGGGCCAGGCTTGGTACGTTATGTGCGTATGTGTATATATTTATATCTATAGGTGTGTGTGTGTACACATACAGAGAGAAACATCGAGGACAACACACTTATATGTAGAGAGAAAAACAAAGGAAGAGAGAGAGAGAGAGACGAAGAGGGACAGTGGATGGAGGGACGAGTACTTGTGTGTATGATATAAGTTTGGAAACACCACTGTGTTCATAAGTACATCTCCAGGGGGGTAGAGCACAGAGGGGACATTGGTGAAACCGTCCCGTTCGCGCTTGTTCTGGCCGTTTCGCTCGGGACATCCTCATAGTTCTGAAAATCGGACGCGCCCCTCACGCAGATCGCGACATCAGGGTCAACACAAGTAACATGGAGCTGCAACGATTTGACATCAAACCTTAACAAACACATGTCGTTCACTGCTTCTGCATAACGCGTTTGAATAAGACAATGCTTCTCCAAGTGTCCCCCTGTGTAATGCTTCCCTATGTCTAAGACGACGGGCAAACAACACAAACGGACATCACTTACTTTGCTCATAGCTGTAAAACAAAACATACGTTTTCATGTGGTTCCCATTGCAATTCTCCAGCTTTGGTCTAACACCTGATGCTTCATGCCCACAGGCGTGCTTCTCATCCTTCGTCTTATCGCAAGCTGTGGGGACCCCCATCGGTGGGCGCCAGGTGCTCTTCGCGAGCATCCTGTGATGTTGGGTCTTCGATTTGAAGAGAAAACGCCCCGCGTTCCTCCTCCTCTCCTCTCTTCTCGTCTCCTCCTCCCCTTCCTCCCCCTCCCTCCTCCCATCCCCCCCGCCCATTACAGCGCTTCGTGGCCTCATAAGGAACTCCTTCGAAGGCACCAATGGCGCAGTTCGAATGTGGTTCGTGCGCCCAGGTGCAGCGTTTCGCGGCCCCATGAGGCGCTCCGCCGAGGGTCCCAGTGGCGGATCTCGCATGCGGCTCTTGCGCCCACTGCGGTGTTTCGTGGCCCCGTAGGGAGCTTCACCGACGGTCCCAAGAGCGAATCTCGCATGCGTTTTCTGCGCCACTTACAGCGTTTCGTGGCCTCATAAGGAGTTCCACCGACAACGTTTCGTGGCCCCATACGGAACTCACCCGAAGGTCCCAATGGCGGAACTCGCATGCGGTTCCTGCGCCCAGTGCGGTGCTTCGCGGCACCATAGGGAACCCCACCGAAGGCCCCCCGTGGCGGAACTCGCACGCGGTTCCTGCGCGCCGAATGCAACGTTTCGTGGCATCGTGGGAGATCCACCGAAGCGTCCAGTGGCGGAACTCGCATGCGGTTCTGCGTCCAGTACAGCGTTTCGTGGCCCAGCAGGGAGCTCCACCGAAGGTCCCAAAGGCGAAGCTGGCATGCGGTTCCTGCGCCCAGTGCTGCATTTCGTGGCCCAGCAGGGAGCTCCACCGAAAGTCCAATTGGCGGAACTCGCATGCGTATCCTGCGCCCGGTGCAGCGTTTCGCGGCCCCATAAGGCTCCCCGCCGAACGTTTCAATGGCGGAACTCGCACGCGGTTCCTGCGCCTAATGCAGCGTCGCTTCGTGGCCCCATGGGGTGCTCCACCGAAGGTCCCAGTGGCGGAACTCGCATGCGGTTCCTGCGCCCAGTGCTGTGCTTCGTGGCCCCGTAGGGGGCGTACTTTTCACGCGCTTTGTGGCCCCGTAGCCTGAGCGCGAGTGGTCCACAGCCATGCCTGCTCTCGGTCCTGTAGGCTCTCGCCCTGGGCCGTCGGCTGTCCGGAGCGCCGCTCCCTCGGCCGACGTCGCCCAGGCATGATCCTGGGCTGCGGCGTCACGAGGTCGGGAACGGCAAGGAGGGCGGCGACTGGTGGCTGGAGCTCTACGCGCTGCTCGCGCGCGCCGTCCGCCACGAGTCACGAGGGCATCCTGCTCATGCGGGCGCCACGGATCGAGTTTTTCTTGGCAGGGCCGCTGGAGGGCTTGCGGAAGCAGCTGGGGCAGTTTGCGGCGCGCACGAGGCGGTGCCGGAGGGAGGCGACGGCCCTCGCCAAGGAGCTGGGCTTCACCGAGTTCAACCGCGAGGCCTGACCAGGGGAGCGGGTCAGCCGAGCTTCGCCTTCACTCGACGGTCTGAGTGTTTGGCCCCGCGCCGCGGATGACCCGCGGGCGTCACTGGGACCCTTTCGGAGCGACTAGCGCGCGTCGCGGGAACTCCATGCTGCGCTCTGCCCAGCGCCTCGCTCGCCTGTCGTCGCTCTGCCCAGCAGCCAGAGCCACGCCGGCAATCGGCCAGCAAGCTAGCTCTCCTTGCTCCGCGCAGCGGACGCCCCGCGCGCGTCGCTTGAACCCTTCGGGGCGACCGGCGCGGGTCGCGGGGACTCCGCGCTGCACTGCGCCTGCAGCCTTGGGCTTGGGAGTGCGCGGGCACAGGGGGAGAAAAAAAGGGAAGGAAAAACTTGGACGGTCTTGTTTTTTTTTGCCACCCTCCATCAAACAGATCACGGACAGAGGGAACCAAGCCGAAGGCACTATAGGGAACCCCACTGAAGGCCCCAGTGGCATCGCCCACGTGCCGCCGCCGTTCCAGTTTGGCACACCCCTCACACGGTTCGTGCCCCAAGAAGGAGCTCAACCGAAGATGAGTTTCACAAATGTGGTATTCACAACTGCATATGGTTGGGTCCTTCGCCAGGCCAATTTCCCAAGCATCCTGTGGTGTTGGGTCCTCGTTTTGAAAAGACAATCTCCGCGTCTCCTCTTCCTCTTTCTTATCCCGCTCCTCCCTCCTCCCGCCATTGCCCCTGCGTCTGCCCTCACGTTGGCACACCCCTCACACGCGTCGTGGCCACATAGGGAGCTTCGCCGAAGGCCCCAGTGGCGCAGTTCGCATGCGTTTCCTCCACATGGTACAACGTTTCGTGGTCCCGTAGGGAGCTCCACCGAAGGCCCCAGTTGCGGTGTCTGCATGCGTTTCACCCACCCACCACATCTTCTCGTGGCCCCGTAGGGAGCTCCACCGAAGGCCTCAGTGGCGGTGTCGGTATGATTTCCACTCATCCAGTACAACGTTTCGTGGTCCCCTAGGGAGCTCCACCGGAAGCCTCACTGGCGGTGTCGGCATGATGTTCACGCCCACCCAGTACAGCGTTTCGTGGCCTCGGGTCAGAATACCGCCCCTCCTGAGGTCCTGGCGGGACCCGGGGGGGGGTCCCGCCATCAGGGTCGGCGGCACCACTGGCCGGAAGGCCTTCACGACGATCTCTCGCCCACGGCGGGACAAATTCAGCAAGCGCTAACACCTAAACGGTGCGTCCGAGAGCGGCCGAGAGCGCGGGCGCCCAGTGGGCGGAGGCCTGACGGCGCGCGCCTTCTCAATGGCGGTGTGGCGCGGGGGGGGCTCCTAAGAGGGCAGGAGGCAGGAGGATAAAGGAGGAGCGAGGAGGGGGAGAAAGAGTATGATGAGGAGGAGGCGGAGGATGATGAGGAGGAGGCGGAGGAGGAGGAGGCAGAGGAGGAGGAGGAGGAAGAGAAGGAGGATGAGGATGAAGATGAGGATGAGGATGAGGATGAGGATGAGGAGGAGGAGGAGGAGGAGGAGGAGGAGGAGGAGGAGGAGGAGGAGATGGAGATGGACGGCCCCAATCGGATTGAGAGCTCCAAATCGGATCGCCGCCGACGCCCGCTCTGGTGTGCCTCTGCCGCCTCCGGGGTCGGCGGAGGCAAAGCTGGAGGAGGAACTCGTTTGCGGCGGCGGAGGCGGTGGTGGGGGGCCGACGCGGTGGAGGAGCGGAGGCGGCGGAGGCGGAGGCGGCGGCGGCGGAATCGGCGTAGGCGGCAGAGGAGCGGGACGCGGCGGAGGCGGCGGCGGCGGCGGAGGCGCCGGGGGCGCCCAGGGGCGGCCTGCGGGGCAACCATGCTGCGCAGCGGCGCGCGCGCCAACCTGCCCCTGGGCGTGGGCGGGGGGGGCTGCTCCGTCGGAGGGGCGGGCCAGGGAGGAGAGAGGAGCGGGGGGAGAGGAGGGAGGGAGGGGGGGGGAAGGAGGAGGGCGGACGGGGAGGGAGCAAGGGGGGGGGGAAGGGCGAGAGGGAGGAGAGAGGGAAGAGAGAGGATGCAAAGAAGAACCTGCGGCTGCGGCGAGCGAGGGCGGTCGCGGACACATTGCCGGGTTCTCTTGGCGCGGCGTGCCGCGGATCGCGAGGGCCTCTCATAAGATCCATCGCCTCTGGCTGGGAAGGGCGCGGCCCCTGCTGGCTTACGGCTTCTCGGCCTTGAGTGTCACGGAGGTCCTCGCAACAGATGT